CTATTAACTTAGTGGTCAACCCCCCAAACAAACAGAAGCAGCATCTTTGACTCTTCCCTCTCCAATACCTCTTTTTACCCCCTCCCACCACCAGCAAACACCATCCAAATAATCATCACATCCAATACTGCTGACATCTCTTTGGAATCTGCTGTATTTCCATTTCTGCATCAACCCTAGCAAAAACTAGTAACATCTTTCATCTACACTATCTCCATAGTATCCTATCTCCCTGCTTCTAGTTATGATTTCATCTAATCTACAGATCACAATGTAGTCTGAGAAATCTTTGGAAAATGAAATGAAAGAGGAGAGAGTGTATGCACACAAGCACACAAGAGAGTAAAATGAAAACCTCAATGTGCCATTCTTCTACTTAAAACTTTACAGGTAGGGACCATTTCTCACTAAGCAAATCAAGACAGGACAAACTTGGACAAGAGGATCTATGAATTATAATATTTATTCTTTGCATGTTGTCCTTTAGCACTTCTAAACTAGAGATTTTCTCTCTATAGAAGCAAACATGGCCACCAGCATCTTGAACTCATATCCCAACAGCTCTCCCACAGAATAAAAGTTACCATTATCTCTAGTCAGAATTAACTCTCGAAGGTGCACTTATAGCACTGACTCATGTGCTCATGACTTCTGGCCAGGAGGAAAGAAACTATGATGACTCTACCTGGCTTATGTGAGTACCTACGAGGTTGGATAAGTGTACTCATGCTACTAGATGGATAGAATAGCAATAATCTAGAAAGTTACAGTAGTCACATCAAAACCTTTTAGGCCTCTTATCTCTCAGGATCAAATATATTCTACTAAAACAGTTTTAAAAGTATTCCATGATCTGGTTCTGCTTTCTAGCTTCTTGTCTTCATATATTTCCATTACTTCACAATGTTAAGTGTCCTCCAGTTCACAGAACACAGATGTCTTCTGCTACTGGTCCTCCCACATGCTATTTCCTTTGTCTAAAATATTCTTCACTTTTTTCCTTTTTTAAATATCACTATCTCAATGGGGCTTCCCTTATACCTAGAATTCCCATAATTATATTCAATATATCCAATATGAAATTCTCTATTACTATATTCATTATTTATTAATTTTCTCAATCATCTAACCTTCCTATTAAATAGCAAATTCTATAATAAAATACTGGGGTTCAACACCCAGTTTAGCATGTTAAAAATGTCTTGAAGAAATAAATAAATGTGCTTAAAGAATTATAGACAAAATTGAACTGAAGGAAAAAGAGAAAAACCAAAAGAACAGTAAATAATAATGTCTTCAATTTATTAAGTACTTTCTGTGAACGAGGCACTACGCAAGATGCTTAACATGTTTTACCCCAACTCTCACATCAACCCTAGAAAACAGGCATTATTCTGATGTCTATTTCCTACTAAAGACATTGAACCTCAGAGAAATTAATTGCCTTAAGCAATACACATCTATTTCCATATTCATGATAATGACAGCTTATTGATTTACAAATATTTACTGAACAGAGTAACTTTGAAACTAGAAAAATTTAAGTATGAATATGGACTCCTTCACCTTCTGGCTGGGTACTTTCAGCAAACTATGAGTGCTTCCAAATCATGTTTCTCACAAATGTAAAAAAGTGGTTAAATGCTGTCCTTAATACCAGATGTGGTACATAAAATGCCTGTTACAAAATACTGCTTAAATGTTAGCTCCTTCCTACTACTTATACTGTGCAGCAGAATATAAAACAGAAATTACACCATTTAGAACCTCAAAGATCTTACTATCTGGTTGATGAGATTATTTCATTAAATATTCCTGAAATTAAATAGAATCTGATGTGAAACAGTAAACATGTACAACACCCAGCAGTACAGATTATAAAGTCAGAAAAAGAAAATGATCCACGATGAGTGTGTGAATTAGAAAAAGCTTTCATGAAGGAACAGAAATGTGTGGAGACTCTTAAAGTATATGTAAGGGCTGAGAAGGTAGCTCAGCAAGAGGACGTGTGCTTAGTATGTGCAAGGCCCCTGGGTTCAATCCCCAACATTGCAAACAACCACCATCACAAAGTTAAAGGGATATGTAAGATGTACAACAGTAGAGAGAAAGGTGTTTTCCCCTCTTCCTCCTCACAGGGGAAGAAGCATATATTAATGAAATCAAGGAACTGCTCTTCAATTAATGAAGGCAGATTTAAAACAAACAACAACAACAACAAAAAACTAGGCATGGTGGCACAAGTTTTAATCCCAGCTGCTCAGGAGGGTGAGGTAGGAGGATGACAAATTTAAGGTCAGCCTAGACATCTTAGTAAGATCCTGCTTCAAAAATGAAAAATAAGATGTATCTCAGTGGTAGAGCACTCCTGGGTTCAATTCTCAACACTAGGGGGGAAAGAAAAGGAGAGAGAGAAAGAGAAGGTGGATAAGGATTATGGAAAGCTTTGATGGCAGAATTGTGGAGCTGAGATTCATAAAAGAAAGAAATATGGAGCCAATTAAGAATCTGGGGTCAGGGAAAGGACAGACTGAGGAATGATAATAAATCTTACATTTTTTTCCACAGAAATATCATGGTTCACTTTTTTTCCCTAAGAAGGAAGGTAGTACTTCTCCAAAATATTATTCAACATATTTTGCATTTAAAGAAAAAGAAACTAAAACCAAAAAAAAAAATCCAACAGCTTTCTCACCCCATTTCATGCTGTCAGGTAATCATCTAGAGAGGAGAACCCAAGCCCTCTAAGTATGGCCCATATAACTTTCATATTACTAAACAATATAACATGTACATACTGGCCAAAATTGGCCAATCCTGGTTCATCTGTAGTTCTTCATATTAACTGTTGTTTATAGACATACTAATTTACAACCTCTTTTAATAAACAAGTGCCAGTATAAACTTTACCCTATGCAAAAGGTCATAGCACCCTCAAGGAAACACAATGAATAACTTCATACAAAGATGCAAATTATAATTTCAGAATCGTGAGACAAAATTCTCATTCTTCCAATGTATCTTTAAAAATGCCCACTATAGGTATTTTTATATCCTTACCCTTTTACAGCTCATTACAAAGGAACTATCAATCAGTTCTACAGCGTTCTTAAAACATTTTAAATGAGCCAATGTGGTTTCTTATTACACCTCAGTCTTCTCCCATTACACCCTTTATTTTAGGCTCTAAAACTTGGGCATTATTTTCTAACCATATGCTACATGTCATGCTGGGGATTATATAACTTTTGTTTTTATCAAAATGGTACCCTTTTGGTTTAAGCTACATCAGGCTTTTCTTAAATTTACAATTCTAAAAAAATTACTTATAAAACAGAAGCTAAACTAGTGGGCCTAATTAAATAGAAAAATACTTTAAAATGATTCTGCTTTCTAATGTTATTTTTGCCCCATCATATTTGATAGGTTTATAATGAGAGTGAATTATTTCCTTCCATTATCAAGTGGGTAAAGAAAAGTGAGAGTAAAGACACTTGTAGACTCAGAAATGCTGTGTATTCTCACAGCTACTGTCTAATTTCCAAAACATACAACAAACATGCTCATGAAATTTTAGATATTTTTAAAAAATCAGATCCTTTTAAATTCATAGGCTAAGTCTTGAAAGTTTGGGGATAATAGATCTTTGGTCACCAGGGCACTTTTGTCCTTTTTAATTTTTATAAATCACTAAGCTTACTGAACGTAGTTAAAATTTGGCAGCAATGTTACTGCTACCTTGAGTATTTGAAAGTTTTTCAGTAATGTGGTACCTAAGTCAAACAAAGTATAATCTCTCATGAAACTTCCATTATCACTTAAAAACAACAACAAAGGTGGCAAAAAGTGGAGATTCTTGGGATTTTGAGCCTCTAAAAGGCCACCAAATATTGGGGGTGGAGATTTTAGTACAATTATTTTTCATGGATGTATCTGGACTACCATTTTTAGCTGCTTCCTCACGAATAAGAGTTTAATATTATGTAGGTTTAAACCATATAAAAGAAAAATTTTAATTTGGGTGGGGGAAGGTACTGTGGATTAAACCCAGAGGTGCTTTATTACTTAGCTACATTCCTCTTCTAAGTGCCTTGCCTAGCATCTGGGTGGCCATTTTAAGGCTTTCCCGCCCTAGGGTTTTTCAGAGAAAGGCTCACCACTCCCTCAAACCAATCCAACCCTGCAGCGCCTGCATTCTTTCCCCGGCCAAGGGCATATCACCACTCTCTCCTACCAATCCCACCCTTAATCGTCCACATCAGGACCCGACCTGTGCGGCTCTGCATTCCTGAGCCACCGCCATAAATCTCCAACCCCAAGCCTGCATGGCCTCTCGCGGGCTATGGACTGATGCCCTTTGTCAGCTCTGACAAACTCTCCTGTGTATCTCCGCCTGGTCACCGTCTTTCATTTCTCGCTGGCCCATCCGGGTTCCTCGCTTTCCTGTCACCCAGTTCTTTTTAATTTTCAGACACGGTCCCTGTAAAGTGCTTAGGACTTTTCTGAATTACTGAAGCTCGCCTTGAACTTGGGGATCTTCCTGCCTCAGCCTCCTGAGTGGCTAGGATTGCAAGCGCGCACCACAGGATCTGGACCCCTTTTTTAATTTTTATGATGATTTAAACAACGGCTTCTGCCATAAAGGTACCGTTACGTTTCCCATGATTGTGTGAATTCCTGAGGCAGTGGGCTATGAGCATTCAGGTTAGCTGTGCTAGCCTTATTTACGGCCAGACATAGCATTAATACTCGTTGGGGTCCAGGTTATCAAACACAGCTAGTCTTTGGTCTGTAACTATCTTTAAACAAAAACCAATGAAATCTACCAGATTTTACTCCGCCTAAGTCTCAGAAGTAGCATCTCCTTCAATTAAGAAAAAAAAAAAACAAGCACTTTCCACAAGTGCTGGACTCTCCCCAACACCCAAGCACTAAGCTGGGGCAGTGCGGGGCGGCCTGCCAAGACCCAGGGGAATGAAGGTCGGGAAGTCGCTGCTCACCGCAGTGGATCCCTTCTTCACTGCTTCCTGGGCATATTCCACTTGGAAAAGGTGTCCGTCTGGGGAGAAGACGGTGATCGCCCGGTCATACCGAGACGCCATCGCATAAACTAAGATTCCCGCGGAGCCTAAGACGCTACCAGAGCTACACGTGGCTGGAAACCGCTTGCACCGCCACGTGCTGGTTCCCGGAAGTGCTCACGCGCGCCTCGAGCCGCCTCCCAGAAGTCTTTGCGTCTCACGCACGCGCACGCGCCTGGAGCCGCTTCCCAGAAGTCTTTGCGCCCACGCCTTTGGCTGCCTCCCAGAAATCCTAGTGCTCGACGGTCTAGGTGACCTCAGCCTCTTCCTTTGCCTTCTTGTCTCATAAATCTCCCAGATTGCCATCAGTGTAATCCTGGGCGTGATGACAGCTCACTGATTTATAAAAATGATATGCAAGATTAAGGGCTTAAAGATAAAATCTTCAAAGGTCAGGTATTTTTGTATGCACTTAATAACAGAAAGAATGGTACGTACAATTTCAGCCTCTTGCCTTTGGTTTTAAATTCTAAAGTCCCCTACCACCACCCCCTTTTTCTTTCTCTGGTTATCATTGGTCACTTGAATCCAAGAAATGATAATTTTCAAAATAGTGTTGTTTATTCTTTTTTCTTTGTTTGTTTTGTTTTGCCTTGTGAGCAAATAGATCCTGTGAGCAAATGGTCCATTAACTAGAGGAAATTGTCCATCAAACTAATACTAATGACAGTAATTAAGAAAATACAGCAATCTGTATACGGGGTAAAGTTGGGAGTTCATAACCCACTTGAATCAAACTGTGAAAGATGATGTATTAAGAACTGTGTAATGTTTTGAACGACCAACAATAAAAAATAAATAAATAATAAAAAAATAAAAATAAAAAAAATAAAAAAAGAAAAAAAAAGAAAATACTCTTTTCATTGAAGAAAAATTAAAAAATCCAAAGATGTGACTTGAATGATTTATGGGAGTTTAGCTATATCTGTATTATGTTGTAAAACATTACTACCTGTGAAACAACTCTGTCTTTATCAATAATATGAGAGTATTAAAAAATTCTTCAGCAATGTGGTCCAAAGGTCGAACATTAAATGTGCATTATAAAAATGATTCCAGGAGGTGCTAATGACCAAGTAAATTTGGCTATTATTACCTACTCTGTATTGTTTATTAGATGCTGTATTAAAATGGACAAGATCTTAAAGTTGGTGAAATCAACTTGGACTTAAGAAAAAGAGCTAGGCATGGTGGGGCATGTCTGTAATGCCAGCAACTTGGGAGTCTGAAGCAGGAGTATCTTAAGTTCAAGCCAGCCTCAGCAACTTAGCAAAATCCTGTCTCAAAAGGGTTGGGGATGTGGCTAAGTGGTTAAGTACCCCTAGATTCAATCCTGGTACTGAAAAGAAAAAAGAAAGAAAGAAAAATTATCCACAAAAGAGGAAACTCATTTTTCTTAATTCCAAAAAGCTAGAATTGAGTTGACTCTTGAGAGCAATTTGTATTCATTCCCCTTCTGGTCTCTTTTTTTCCATTGGAAAATAAGATAATTCATTTTGGGGAATGGGCAGACATCCAATCTCAGAACTTCTGGAATTGCTTCTTGGTGCCAGCAGCCTTGATGACCTTGAGCACATTACAGTGCACTATCTTGTTAAGGGGCCCGCACTTGACCAATGTGATAATATCACCAATCTGGACATACCTGAAGCAGGGGGATAGGTGCACAGACATGTTCTTGTGGTGCTTCTCCCAGTAACTGTACTTGCACATGTAATGGAAATAGTCCCAGAGGATAACAGTGGTGCCTGCATCTTCATCTTGGTCACCACACCCAAACAGAATCTGCCCTTGGATGAAAATGTTACCAGTAAAGGGACATTCTTATTAATGTAGGTGTCCTCAATGGCCTCCTTGGGTGTCCTAAAGTGCAGGCTAATATTATTGTGGTATTTAGAGGCGTCTCCTTGCCAGTTTTTCCCAGCAAGACCCCCTTCTTGTTTTGAAAGATGGTTAGCTGCTTTTGATAAGCGCACTGAGTCTAAATGTCTGCCACCTTCTCGGCTACCTGAATAAAGAACCCCTTTTCTTTAATGTGGGAAACTCTAGAAAAGTTTGATTCTACTAAGAAAAACAAAAATTTCCAACAGAACAATTTATTTTGTGGTTACAAAACTGTTGTTTGCCAGAAGATGTTTTTTTGAGAAGTATTTCGTTATTCTTGTTAAGTAACCCCCTTTTCTGTTCTATATTGAAATAATAGAAAAATAGTGGAGAGAAGTCTCCTACTCTTCTCCTAGTTTGGTCCAATGGTAATACCTTACATACCTATAGTACAATAAAATAACAAAGCTATGAAACTGACATTGGTACAACCCATAGAGGCTTTTCAGATTTCAGCAATTTTACATGCACTCCTATGTGTGTTTCTGGGTAATATATTGTGTGCTAAAACCACTACCACCATTAAGATATAGAACTGTTTCAAATCACAAAGATCCCTATGCTGTCCACCTTAGAAAACATATCTTTCTACCTCCACCATCCCTGACAACCACTAATCTGTTCTCCTTCTCTATAATTCTGTCATTTCAAAAAAATGTATATAAATGGAATTCTACATTATGTAAAGGTTTGTGACTTTTTTTTTTTTAATTATGGACTCAGCCAGGTGCGATACCAAAAAAACAAAAACAACAAAAGAACTTATTGACTCACATTTAAGGACATTTTACAGAGGGTCTTTGTACCATTCATTTAGTTCTCCCAGTTGGTGACATCTTATATGCTTATGGTATAATATGAAAATGAGAAAACTGACATTTGAATAGAGGATTTTTGTAACTTTGATTGAAAGGAATTTTATGAATGTTATAATGTGTTATAGTGTACATTTTAGAAATATTGACAAGGATTAATTCACACATTCAGGCTTCATATTGAGACTACAATTTTAACAGTTTTGTGGTTTGGGGTAGTGTTTTATTACTGTGACCAAAAGACCTGACAAGAACAATTAGAGGAGGAAAAAGTTTATTTGGGGGCTCAATATTAATTTTATAGAAGTCTAGTTCTATTCCTTAGGGCTTGAGGCAAGGCAAAACATCATGGTGGAAGAGTGTGGTGGAAGGAAACAGCTCAGAACATTGCACCATGAAGCAGGGAGAGAGAGAGACAGAGAGCTCCATTCTTTAGGGATAAAATATATACCCCAAAGACATGTTCCCAATGACCCATTTCTTCCAGCCACACCCTACTTGCCTACACTTACATTCTGGTTGATACCTATCAGGTGATTAATTTACTGGTTGGATTAAGGCTCTCATAACCTGGTCATTCCACCTTTAAATCTTCTTGCATTGTGTCACACATGAGCTTTGGAGGACACCTGATATCTAACCATAACAGGTAGATAAAATTAATTTTACTAAAACTCAGTTTCCTTACTTGTAAAATGGGGATAGTATCTACTTCACAAGGTTGTTGTGAAGAATAAATGAAATAATACATTAGTCCCCAGGTCTACTTGATACAGAGTAAATGCTTACAAAATGGTAGCTATTGTTATTTGTCATTGAGTTAACTGAAAAGTTGATTACTCTATAAAAGAGAAATTTGGAAGTGTAAAGCTATAGCATGAACCCATTTATACTTTTAAAGAATATATGTCTACAAATATATGATCCTAAATATGTGGGGAAAAGAGTGAAAGGACATACACCAAGTTGACAAAAGTGGTTTTCTTTGCAGGAGGACAGAGATTGGAAAGAGAATAGAAAGACATGGTAAACAAAGAGAAGTCACCATTTTAAACTGTTTATGTGTAACTATATTATGTTTTTTTATAGATTTTTTTTAGAGAGAGGGAAGAGAGAGAATTTTAATATTTTATTTTTTAGTTATTGGCAGACACAACATCTTTGTTTGTATGTGGTGCTGAGGATCGAACCCGGGCCACACACATGCCAGGCGAGTGTGCTACTGCTTGAGCCACATCCCCAGCCCTTATGTTATTTTTTACAACAAGCATAGTTTAGACTAACAAAAACAATGGTCAGAAACAATTTAATGCCTAGAGATTTTTAACGATGGTAATCTTAATGATTTGACCCAAATCTTCTATTGAGAACAACTAGAAATATGGGACAAAATATGTTTTCAAATCCATGTTGCAGGGTGCAGTGATACATGCCTGTAATCCCAGTGACTAGAGAGGCTGAGGAAGGAGGATCCCAAGTTCAAAGCCAGCCTTAGCAATTTAGTGAGCCCGTGAATAATTTAGCGAGACCCCATCTCAAAGCAAAATGTAAAATTCGCTGGGGATGTGGCTCAGTGGTTAAGCACCTCTGAGTTCAATTCCTGGCACACACAAAAAAACAAATAAACCAAAACAGAAAACAAAATCTATATGCTATTCCTAAAGAGCTAACAAGGAATGAACATTTGTGGTGCTTATATTTAAAGGAGAAGGAAAACCCAGAGATATTTGCCTGTTCCTGATGCCTAGTTTAGAAGTTAAAGCAAATCTTTTTTTAAAAGTGTCCCTGGATTGAACCCAGGGGTGCTTAACCACATCCCCAGTGCTTTTTATTTTTTATTTTGAGACAGGATCTTGCTCAATTGCTGAGACTGACTTGCCTCAGCTTTCCAAGCTGTTGAGATTATAGACTTGTTCCACTGCGCCCAGCTAAAGCAGATCTTAGATTAGACAAAAATTGGAGTTCAAAGCATGACGAGATGTTATGCAAATCATTTAAGCTTTTTTGTTGGAACCATTATCCCACAAGAGTGAAGTTAAAAAAGACCTATTCTACATTCTGACGTGGCTCCTACATATACCTTGCTTGCTCATATACCTTGTTCTGCTTTTTCTGCAACCACGTTTGACAAACTTTGTATGATTGAGATTGAGAAATTGAGAAGTCAAAATTGAAGAACACAGAAACACAAAGTAGTATCCTTCAAAATGCCGGGTTTCTGTTCTCATGACTAAAACGCTCAGGGGTCACTCCAGTTAAACTGGGCTAATTGGGCTTCACGAAATAACCACACAAGAGACACAAATACCTTTTTCCTTGGGGTCACTGTGACAGCTCCTCTGACCTTAAGGGTCCACAGGAAGAGAGAGAGAGCGAGAGCACACCCTGACCCCTTTTATTGAGGGGAAGTTATTTAAATGAGGCAAGGT